AAATAGACTCCGTCAATGCTGTCAGACTACTGCTGGAGCATTGTAAGAGACAATCCTTTCTTTGAATGCAAAAGAAACGTCAAGAGAAGCAAACAGGATATAAACTAAAGTCACGATTAAAGCAACATTTAAACTTTCAGACTTTTCAACTGCATTAGGCCTACTAATATAGTTTCTTGCTGCACAAACATAAACAATAGACTAATTAAATAAATATTTCTCATGTATAAACTATTGGCAATATAATTTGACTAAAATTTAGTAAATATTCACGGTTTATATACATGCAGTAAGGTTAGGCGCATTATCATAATATTAAGGAATTACCTATTGTGGAGAAAATTGAAATAGCTGTTGCATAAAAACCAGAGCCAATTAACACATTTAATTATTATATTTGAATTCAGCATGTTAAATTTATTAAGAAATGGCACATTTCATTTCTGCAACTGAGAAAAACTTGAAAATTTATAGAACAGTGTAATCTGTCTATAAAAACCTATCTGTTTGGCTCCTTCTGATTGATCTCAGCTGCCGCCTTTTAAACTGACAATTCCTGATCAATCTGATGTATTACAGCTTGTCCTTCTCTCTTTTGCTTTTCTGTAAGTTGTTCTGTAATGCCCAAGATCTGTTTGAATTCAGTTACTTCATTTTAAGTTCTGGTCGAAGATTAATTTCTAGTTGAAGAATGCTTTTTTTTCATTTCTAACAATACCTTCTTCATAGACAATGGGAGCAGAAAGTAGAATTGCTACAAGGGGTTAACGGTTCACCAGCAGAAGACATAAATCAATTGTTCTTGTTATAACGTCTTTATTTCTGCTTGGAATGTGAAACTGCTTCCCATGGAACTTTTCTTGGCTTTATAGTCAATATATAGTACATGCATTTCTTCCCTTCTTCTTCGTAATGTTATTAGTCAGTATTTAATGCAAATATTTTTACACCTGTGGAGCAGTTTTCTACTCCAAAACGAGGTCTAAGAGATGATAATTTAAAGCATGGAGAAGATTGTTATTACCTTGAAACCCATCCAGTCAATTTAGTAAAAATTTAAGAAGTAAAAAAAGAGCTTACCTTAGTTTTAAGTTCCCAATCTTCATTTTTAATGATAATTTACAAAACCAAAGGAAGGGAGGAGGGCTCTTAGAGCTTAGCCAGCATAAGACTGAGGGTTGGAGGAAAGAAGACTGAGCAGGGCCATGGTAGCCATATTTAAATATTTGAAATTATGTCACATTGAGACTGGGCAGGCTTGTTTTCCGCTGCTCTAGAAACTAAGACATGGAGCAATTGATTCAAATTGCAGGAAAAGAGATTCCACCAAAACACCAGACAGTAAGAACTGTCTGGCAGTGGAATATTATTTTATGGTCTTGGTACCAACTGTAAACCGTCCCGAGTCGCCTGCAGGCTGAGAGGGATGGTATATAAATATAGTAAATAAAATAAATAAATATGCTGCCTCCGAGTGTGGTAGAGTATTCTTCTCTGAATGTTTTTAAGTAGAGGTTATACCAGTGGTTCTCAACCTTTAATACAGTTCCTCATGTTGTGGTGACCCCCAACCATAAAATTATTTTCATTGCTACTTCATAACTGTAATTTTGCTACTATTGTGAATTGTAATGTAAATATCCGATATGCACGATACATTTTCATTCACTGGACCAAATTTGGCACAAATGCCCATTATACCCATTCCCATCAGTATCCAAATTTGGACATATTGGGTATTTGTGCCAAATTTGGATACTGATGGCGATGGGGGGATTGATTTTGTCCTTTGAGAGTTGTAGTTGCTGGGATTTATAGTTAACCTACACTCAAAAAGCATTTCAAACTCCATCAATAATGGAATTGAACCAAACTTGGCACACAGAACTCCCATGATTAACGGAAAATACTGGAAGGGTTTGGTGGGCAGTGATCTTGAGTTTTGGAGTTGTAGTTCTCCTACATCCAGAGAGCATGGATCTGGACCAAACTTGGCACGAATCCTCAACATGCCCAAATGTGAACACTGGTGGAGTTTGGGGAAAATAGACCTTGACATTTGGGAGTTAGTTGCTGGGATTTATAGTTCACCTACAATCAAAGCGCATTCTGAACCTCATCAACAATAGAATTGAGCCAAGCTTCCCACACAGAACCCCCATAACTAACGGAAAATACTCTGATGGTTTTTGGCGACCCCTCTGACAACCCCTCACGACCCCCCCAGGGGTCCCGACCCCCAGGTTGAGAAACACTGGGCTAGATGGCGATCTTTTGGGAATACTTTGTGTGTATTTTCCTGCATGACGAGGTTGGACTGGATGGCCCTTGAGTCTCTTCCAACTCTATGATTCTATGAAATATAGGTATATTTTAATTTCAGTAAAATAGTCAGCACTCAGCATTGAGAAGCTTTTAATACTGTTATCTGAAAGGGATCCTGACTGATGTAAGGAAGCAATCAATGAACTGTTATGAAGAGCAGATAGAAAAAAACAACAAAATCATGTTTCCTTGAATCTCAAGTAAAGAATGGATGTAGGACTCGTCATATGACATGGTTTTGTTGTAAGTGTAATATCTTTTTAAAGCTTCAGTAATAATAATAATAATAATAATAATAATAATAATAATAACTTTATTTATACACTGCCACTATCTCCCTGAAGGGACTCAGGCTTACATGAGGCCAGGCCCAAACAACAAATTACAGCAAAATAAAACCAAAAACACAAGCAACAAACAACAACATCATAATTTCATGAAAACATATGAATACATTAACAATATGAGATTACAATAAACACAGTCACAGTGACAGTGGGCGGGCCACATGTGCAGGATAAAATGGTTTTAAAAACTGATTAAAAAACCTCAGGTGAGATAAAAGGAGGAGCAGGTTATTTGCAGAGGGGAGCTCATTAAAACAGAGATTGTGGTACCAAGCTTTCCCACGAGGGGGGGACGTGCACTCCAATGACAAAAACGTTGAGGCTGAGCAATAGTCTGAGGTTGTGTACTGCCATGAACTCATACCTTTTTCGTAGACCGCAGCCTGGTAGACAGTAGGCTGGCATCCATGTTAGGACAGGCAGAGAGGCAAGGGGAGGAGTCAACTCTCTTCTGATTGGGTCTGACTCAAGGGGGAGGAGTTGCAGGAGAAATAAGTAGCTTGACAGCTCTGACAGAGAGGAGAGAAGGAATGTAATCTTGAACGAAGCAAAATTAGAGAGAGGTTAGGATTTCAGTCAGGGAATAGTGGTTATGTTTCCTAAGTGAAAGAGATTAGTTTAGGACAGGGGTCTTCACAGGATTCTGGCTAGGGAAGTCAGAGTGAGAGCCTGTTAACTTGTGCTAAGGCAGAGTACAAGTGGGAATTATCTCTCAGGTGTCAGAGTAGAGACTGTGTGACAGCCAGGGAAAATTGGCTGGTGAATTTCACTGCTATATATTATTAAAGGTAGCGTGAAGGGAATTTAGCTCCAGTTAGAGAAAAGTAACCCATCCTGAAGAAACTGTCAGTTTAATAAGAAGATTGTGCTTTAGAAACCATTTAAGTTTATGTGCCCCGTAGTAGTCTGTCGTTTACCTCATGTTCTTCAATAAATTCATTCTATATTTTCATCGTTAATTAGCCTCAGCCGTGATTACTTATATAGCCTCAGGTCTGACAATTCTATACACTTTTAGAGTCCAGTCACATTTCATAGGGAGCCCGAAGAAAGAAGCAGTGTTTTGGGACAATTTACCTCAGGAACAACAATCAAACAATTCCTCATAATTTAACATTGAGGTGGTGGCAGCTTACCAAACATTACACACGCACGTTACAACAACAACACACGTGTTGAGTTGCTTTGGGTCTGACAGGAGGGAATAGAGACGGTGTTCTGTTCCATTCACACACCTTTCTCTCTTATCACATTGGTGGCAAGGGTGGGATAGAAAAGAAAGGTTTCCCCTGCCATCATTATGTAATAATCCTTGTTCCTCCTATTACATTGGTGGCAGCGGTGGGATAGAATAGAAAGGTCTCCCCTGCCACCTGTAATTTCCTCGTTCATTCTTTTACATTCGTTCCTCCTATTACATGTACTTACTCACCAAAGGTGCAATGGAAGAGCCAGGTTTTAAGGTTCTTTTTAAAGGTTTCTAGGATAGGAGCTTTCCTAATCTCTCCAGAGTCGGGGGGCCACAGAGGAGAAAGCTCTCTCCCTTGTGCCCACAAGGCGAGCTTGTGAAACTAGCAGGGGCAAAAGGAGGGCCTCCCCAGAAGATCGGAGGGCCCGGGCTGGATCATGGAGGGAGATACGGTCACGAAGATAGGCGGGTTCCAAACCGTTTAGGGCTTTATAGGTGATAGCCTGCATCTTGAATTGGGACCGGAAAATAAACGGCAGCCAATGGAGCTCCTTAAACCGGGGGGGGGGGGGGGGGGGGGGGGGGTAGACCGCTCCCTGTAACTAGCCCCAGTTATTAATCTGGCTGCTGAACGTTGGACAAGTTGTAGTTTCTGGGCCGTCTTCAAGGGTATAATGCTTTTCAAAGGCATTGTATTTCAATATTAATTAGCATATTAATAAGCCTAACAAGAATAAGGACCAAGAGCTGCAAAACTGCTGTGAACCAGCCCATTAATGGCTATCCTGCAATGAAATGGTAACCTGTATTTTAGACTACCAGTTGGGGCTCAAAGGATGGAAGGCTTCTTTGGTTTGGGGAATTATTTCTACATAGAAAAAATTAACATATTTGGGCGCGTCTTTTTCCCTGCCACAATAGCACCCTTCTGAATTGATGTGACCATTTTCTGTGTGGCAGGAGAGAGAGATACAGCATGTTCAGTCATGTGAACTTCCATGAATGAAAACAAGACAGAAACATAGTTCTGATATTTTGTCATTCAAACTGGGTAAAGGCTTGTTTGATTGCTTACCAACTTGGTACCTTTTTGTCATTATATTCTAATGTTCACATTCTTGTCTTTATGCATTCTTCAGCTTTGAGGATAACAGACCCTTCATCAAGTAAGAATGATCTGAATGACTGATAAATTCAGTTTATCAATGTGATCCCATGAACTGGTATCAAATCAGTATTTAAAACCATTACAGCTTCTGTCATTCACATTAAAGGCAGAAGAGCAAACTGTTCAGAAAAACCGTAAAGCATTTCTATGCTCCATTTGCTATCACTTGGAGCTTCTTGTGATCTACTGTAGTACAGACTTGTGTGCCTCCACAAATTTCTCCTTGATGTGTAACAATGTGTGTTCCTTGGCATGTTTAGAGTGATAATTTTACCTTGGAACAGTTAATAAATCAGAGGGGTGAGTCTTGATTTGGCAATTTTAGCCAACAGCTTGGAACATTCTGCATTAACTGTAATTTCCATGCAGTCAGTAATTTCATGACATTACTTAAATATTTTACTTCTGTCTTTAAAAAATATGAAGTCTTTGAATAACACAAGTCTGTACGAAATTGCCGAAAATTAATGGAAACAAGAAAGCAACGGTTATAGGCCTTAGACAATAACGTACCATGAAGCCTGCAAGAAAAAATGCTAAAAACATAGCACATCTATAATGCAAGTGCCTCTACTTTACAGTGGACTTTCAGTTTGTTCTTCTGGTGAAGAGTCCATTGTGTTTATCTATTTTATTTCATTCTCATCTATGTCATTCTTTAAATCCTGTGACATACAATCTATTTTATGTTGCCTTCACTTAACTTGCAAGTTTAAAACCTATCAAAATTGCACAATTTCTGCTTGAATCCCCAAAATTATTTTCAAAAATAAATAAACTGGTTTCATGACACACATTAGTTGTAGGACAAACTCTACAGTCATGTTCTATTATCTAAAAGTACTGTTTCCACTGAGATACGTTCAAAAGTTTAAATAAAGGAGATTGCAGTTTCCAAAGATCATTGGACTGAAGTTTCTATGTTCATGAAATAAAAGGGCTTTTTTTTCACTAGTATTTAGTATCTGGCACAAAACACCAGTAATGTACGAGGGGTATTTTTTAAGTAAGGTCCGTTTTGTTGTAGACACTAGTAGTTCGCGCGCATACCGCAACGAGCGCGTGCGTCATGTACCGGCATGCCTCGGGAACAACTGTGCTCAGTTTCCGCTCTGTAGCTAACCTGTACGGTTCTGTTCTGTGCTTTAAAAATGTTTAAGACTATCAATTCACCCTCCGCATGTGAGGTTCGCTCAGTGATACGGTTTTTGTCAGCAAGGAACCTGCCTGCTGCAGAAATTCATCGACAGATTTGTGAAGTGTACGGTGATACTGTTATGAGTGAAAGCAAAGTGCTTAAGTGGGTACGACAATTCAAAGATGGCCGTGACAACGTCCATGATGAGGACCGCTCCGGTCACCCTTCTTTGATTACAGACGATTTGATTTGATCGCACACTCAAATCTTTGGTTTTTGTGGTCCTCTGTTAGGAGTTTCGGGACCCAACGGGAGCACAGTTTCCTAAACTTTAGGTGTTCAGAAACAATGTTGTAAGAGCCGCCACAAACTAGGTTCCTGCGGGAGCAAACCTTGCCAGCACGTCCCTGACATCATGAGACTGCGCCTCTCTCCCCGCCCCTTTCTCCGCCCCTTTCTCCGTGCCAGCGTGGTTTTTCCTTTGCTAGGGCAGCATTGCCAGCATATTCTCTCAGTTAAATTCTGCCAACTGAGAGAGTACGCTGGCAATGCTGCCCTAGCAAAGGAAAAACCACTCTGGCACGGAGAAAGAGGCGGAGAAAGGGGCGGGGAGAGAGGCGGAGTCTCGTGACGTCATGGACGTGCTGGCACAGTTTGCTCCCGCAGGAGGCTAGTTTTGCGGCGGGTCTTAAGCACTGATCTCGACACGTCAGGAAATTTGTTTGAGAGACCTGTTATTGTGAAGCGCCTGTTCTCACGAATCCTCCCTTCAACTGAAGCCACCAAATCGTCTGTAATCAAAGAAGGGCGACCAGAGCGGTCCTCATCATGGGACGTTGTCACAGCCATTTTTGAATTGTCGTACCCACTTACGCACTTTGCTTTCACTCATAACAGTATCACCGTACACTTCACAAATCTGTCAATGAATTTCTGCAGCAGGCAGGTTCCTTGCTGACAAAAACCGTATCACTGAGCGAACCTCACATGCGGAAGGTGAGTTGATAGTCTTAAACATTTTTAAAGCACAGAACAGAACCGTACAGGTTAGCTACAGAGCGGAAACTGAGCACAGTTGTTCCCGAGGCATGCCGGTACACGACGCACGCGCTCGTTGCAGTATGCGCGCGAACTACTAGTGTCTACAACAAAACGGACCTTACTTAAAAAATACCCCTCGTATTAATCAAGTATTGTAAGTTGTTGTGCAATTGCTATTGGAAGCACAGTGCTGACATATACAATCTCAAACTTATCTGTCAATGGAAGCACTCTAAAGTGCCTATAGAAGCAAACATGCATGTGAGATTCAGAGCTTTCCAGTTTGCTTAAAGGTTTGCACATTTCCTTTTGGTTGAATATCTCCTTGCCCCTAGGAAAGCCTATGTTAAAGCAGAAATCACCACAGCAATGAGATCCATACTACCACTGGGATGACAAATCTTTGAGCCTGAACTTAATTTTAAAAACACCCTTGCATATCCTGGTAAAATACCATGAACTAGAATTCTTGTGTTTCTGATCTATACATACATTCATTTCAAATATATTTATACTTTTATTGACATGTTTTCATAGTTTGTAATTGGTATTTCTTTGAAATGTGTTGTTTGGTTCCTTCAATCCCACCATTGAGAGAAAGGCAGATATAAACCAATCAATCAATCTTAGAGCTTTAAAATTATCCCTATCATATTATCCCAGTAGTTCAAGAAGTGATTTCTCTCATTGTATTAGTTATTTCATTAATGTTTAAGTTTGAATAATAATAATAATAATAATAATAATAATAATAATAATAATCTATATAAATAAAAATGTAATGTTCGTTTGTGGTATTCACAGAACTCAAAAACAACTGGACGAATTGACACCAAATTTGGACACAATACACCTATCAGGCCAATGTATGTCCTTCACTCAAAAAAATGATTTTGTCATTTGGGAATTGTAGTTGCTGGGATTTATAGTTCACCTACAATCAAAGAACATTCTGAACTCCACCAATGATGGAATTGAACCAATCTTGGGACACAGAACTCCCATGATCAACAGAAAATACTGGAAGGGTTTGGTGGGCAGTGTCCTTTGGTTTTGGAGTTGTAGTTCACCTACATCCAAAGATCACTGTGGATTCAAACAGTGATGGATCTGGACCAAACTCTACAAGAATATTCAATATACCCAAATATGAACACTGGTGGAGTTTGGGGAAAATAGAATCTTGACATTTGGGAGTTGTAGTTCTTGGGATTTATAGTTCACCTACAATCACAGAGCATTCTGAACCCCACCAACGATAGAATTGGGCCAAACCTCCCAAACAGAACCCCCATGTGGACCACAGCAACGCGTGGCAGGGGACGGCTAATAATAATAATAATAATTCAACTGCAAAAGGCCACCTTACTTGGATCTGTGCGCATCTTTCGAAAATACATCACACAGTCCTAGACACTTGGGAAGTGTTCGACTTGTGATTTCGTGATACGAAATCCAGCATATAGATCTCGTTTGCTGTGACATGCTGTGCTTTTGTGTCAGCAAAATAATAATAAAAGTCTTTATTTGTACGCCGCCACCATCTCCCCGATGGGGACTTGGGGCAGCTTACATGAGGCCAAGCCCAAACAACACATTACAGCAAATAAAACTGAAAATGCAGACCAAAAACGCAGTCCGTAAACAACAACATCATAATTACATAAAGCATGTGAATGCATAGCAATATAAAATTACAATAAACACAGTCACACTGACAATGGGTGGGCTACATGTAATGATTAAGAGAAAAACACTAATTAAAAACTCGGGTGAGATAAAGGAGAAGCATTTTGAAGGTTGAACCTTCAGTTTCTAAGAGTGGTGGGTGCAGAGCGCCTTGATGCTGGAGCAGGGCTCCCTTCCCACTCCTTTATGTTTGTAGGCATTAGAAGAGATCGACTGCTGGAGGCTTCTTTTTTGTTGCTGTGTAGGAGAGAAAATAATGTGTGGGAGTGAATTACAAAAACCAGTGATATACTGGCAATTAGTCGTCAAAATAGTTTATTGTACGGGCCCAAGGCCATGACAGAAAGTACTACATGCACACAATAGTACCCTCATATCAACAGCCACCAACAATGCTAAACAGAAACCATAATCATAACAAAGAGTAAAAACAATGCAAATGCAATGCAATGCAAGTTAACAATAATTAAAGTATATTTTGGGGGAGGGGGTCCAGTTAACTCTTAGAGGTGATTCTTCCCAGTCACTTTGCTATAATTCTATTTTGCGCTAAGGTAAGGGCCCATCTACACTGACCATTTATGCAGCTCCAAGCCAACTCGAAACTGAGAGGGCCACAAATTGCATGGTGCCAATGAGTGCTGCAGTACAGATTTAAAAGTATACAGTACATTAAAGTCACAGGAAAGTCTGAGTTAATGCACTGCAGCAGATCCCAATATATCCCACCTCCCAGGACAAAAATCAGATCTGCAGAATTAGTAGTTCATTGTTGACATCAGCCCTTGCTGAAGCCCTCTGTAGAAATTGAACCAAGAGGGTGAGGAGGCTGCCAAAATAATGCCCCAAGGACATGGCTGGTATTATGATAGCAGGAAGGCCGAGTAGTAGAGAAGATTTTAAATAATTTGAATTTATCAGACAGGGAAAGATATAAAAATAATCCCAACGCTGCTTCACCAAATTATAACAATCAGCCGCTGCTCAACCAAATTATAACGAGGCACACTTCCACTACTGGCTAGCTCTCCAAAACATAGAGCTCACAAAAGGTAGAGGGCACAAAAGGGAGAGGAAGTATGGTTGTTGAAAAACCCACTGTATACTTAAAAGCTAGGAACTGGGAACCA